TATCAAACTCCTTTCAGTCTATAGAGGCTTGAGTTTTTTGTCAAAAGAGAAGTATATGCATTTCCGGACCAAGAGATCAAGTGTGCACTTTTTTAAAAGTTAAAGGAAATTTGCAGAAATTTAAGATACCCTCTGTTGCAAAGCAGGAGATCAAACCAGCTCTGATGAACTCACGGCCAAAATACATGCCCAGCCAGGTGGCTGAAAGACAGGGCAGCACTGTAATCCCAGAATGTCCAAGGAGCTACGATTATGGCACGGCCTCCAAGCGTGGGGCCTTTGTAGCACTGGTTCGTGTAACTCATGTTACTCAAGACCTGTCACACACCTTCTGCAGTCAACAGGCAACACATGGAAAGCAGCCATCCCATCACTGCCCATGTTTTTACCTCTATCTTTTAAAATTAATGTAATATTTGAAACATGAACGAATAAATCAGGAAAAAGCCAGGGGCACACCTGTCATCCCAGCACTGGGAAGCTGAGGCAGGAGAATAGCAGAGAGTTCAAGGCCAGCCTGAAGTAACTAACATCCTCTCTCTCTCTCTCTCTATATATATATATATATGCATACATATATATGTATACATACGTGTGCATATATGTACACACACATATATATATCTCACCTCAAACGACAAAAATAAATAAATACAATAAAATCAAGAAGAGTACCTTCATTGCCACCTTTAAAAAGAAGACAGTGAGAAAGCTCAAGACGAGATCTGCTGCTGTAGCTCCCAGGACCCCTTGTTGATTTTTCTGCATCAACGCTACTGTCACTCTGGTCCACACCCTGCACAACGCACTCTACTTCCATCATCTCAAATAATCCTTGCAAGAACACTCCAAGCTAGGTCACACACCACCCCTCCTCAGGTAAGGAAACCAAGGCCCGGAGAGACGTGATCATTTCATCAAGGACCAAGAACCAGAAAATGGGCATGGGGTATCAGCTCAGAATGCAACATTCTTGGTTAACCTGCACCACCTACGAGGCAATTTGAGCCCAAAAGGCAAACAGCTCTGTCTTCAGGGAGAAAACGACACATAACCCCTTCTGGCTGGGCTACATAGGGCATCGGAGTTTCTGGCCTGGGCAGCGAAACCTTGAAAGGCCAAGGGCGCGCTCCCTCCCTAGAGCAGGGGTGCTGTGTGCAGCTCTGGCTTTCTCACACCCTCCTAAGGGAGGCCCACCCAGCACTCCAGAGACCAGGCGCTCACAGGGAACTCTGCAGCTGCACTCTGAGGCTGCCTGCCCACCATCCGTGAGGCCCTGGCCCCCAGGAGCCTGGCGGACCGGGACAGACCTGCCCCTTGCTTAGCACCTGGCAAAAGATACCGCTGCAGGGACACGTGCGACAAATACATGGGACAAAAGAGAAGCAGGAACACAAGAGGAGGGCGAGGCTGGGCAGGACCCTTTACTGAGGGTGCCCAGTGAGGGCCATTTCCAGCCCCCCAAGGTGAGCAAAACAAGCCCTGGGAAGCGGGACCTTCTCCCCGCAGATAGCAAGGGCCTCACTGCCCCTGCGTCCTGCGCTCACCACCCTCCGGGCCACCAGCGCACAGCCAACAGCGCCAGGGCAGAGTGTGGGTCCCAGGGCCCAGGGCCGGGCGGATCTGCGGGAGGCCCGCCCTGCAGAGTCAGCACGGGGCAGGCTGGGCACACGCACAAGATCGACATCACGGCAAAACCTCCAGTTTCTGATTATCATCAGCAATACCAACTTGAAAGCAGTTAACGGTTCTGCTTGTGAGGCAGGCCCACAGGCTGAGTGAGAACGCAAGGAGAAAAGACCTGCACCTCTGGGGGAGCCGCCCGTGGGACCGAGCGCAGCTCTGCAAGCAGAGACGAGGGCGGCCGCGGCCTGAGACTGGCATCAAGGTCCCCCCCGCAGGCTGTGCTCGCAAAACCAGGCCAAAAACAAGGGTTTCCTCCTTATCACCCGGGGCCAGCGCAATCCTGGCACCAGCGTAATCCTGGCACTACTAGCATCTTCTCACTGACGCCTTAGTGAACTGACTTTTTTGTATGAGGGACTGAAACCAAGGCCTTTACATGAGCTCCATCCCTAGCCCCTTTGTATTTTTTTTTTCTTTTGAAACAGGGTCTCATTAGCTCACCCAGACTATCCTCAAACTTTCCATCCTCCTGCCTCAGCCTCCCAGACTACTGGGATTACAGGCGTGCCAGTATGCCCAGGTATAGCGGCTCCATTTCTAGCCCCACTTCCCAGGAACATTAAGTAATTCACCCCGTCACCGAGGGCTGCTGAGCCCTAAGCGGAAAAGGTACCCTGTGAATCTAGGCCAACTGAACTTCAAAGCAGACAGTACTAACCACGCTACCAGCGTATCCACAGCAGGCGATCAATCAGATTCTGGGAACACACCAAGCATGCTGTGTTTCAGGGATACCCCACACAGGTTGCAGCTGGTGGAGAAGGCCTTAGAGACCACCAGGAAGTCTCCTGTTCATTCTGAGAGCTGGGAGTTCTCACATCTTACACTGACAGGGCAACCTGGGACAGAACACTTGGCCAGGGCCGGGTGAACTTGTCACCTGCTCCCAGGTGACCTAGCAGCAAAGTGTGGGAATAGCGCGGGCAGGCACCTAGGGTGGAGAGTGATGGACCATTCCCCAGTCCACGTAAGGACAGAAGGACAGCGCGGAGCCAGCAGCAGCGCCACCTGCACAGGCCGGGGAGGCCCGCGCTGAGAATGAGTCTCCCGCCACCGGGACCCGGCTGTCCAGCATCGTGTTGGAGAGGTCACACCCACGAGGGAGGAAAAGCATCTGCAAGCTCAGGAGCTTGGACTTCAGCACATGGCTCCCTCGAGAAAAATAACTATTTCTCAGCTTTGTCACGGCACTTTCAGTAAGAATATTATGGTCCTAATGTGTTTCCTGAGATACACATCCATCAAAAATCAAACAGGCTGAAATCCTAGCATGTAAAATTCAAACAAGACACAAGTCAACAGAAGGCAGTAGGTATTCACTGAGAATAAATATAAACCAAACATGCAGTAAAAATCAACACTGTGATTTTGTATAAGTAACCACAACTACAGCCTCTCTTCCTTAGCGCTAGAATCCAGAAGTTACCATTTCTTTTTTTTTTTTTTTTTTTCCTTTGGGTACCAGGAATTGAACTCATGACCTCAGGCTTGCCAGGCAAGCACTTATACCACTGAGCTACATCCCCAGCCCCATTTCTTAGACTTGACACTTTCACATATGTCCTTATAGTTAGGCATGGCTAGTGAGATGTCAGAATAAGTCAAAAAAAAGAGTTCAAAGAAAGCTCTTTAAAGGGGCCTGCCTTAGTTGTGAGGGCGGCTCTTTTTGTCTCTTGCATCTCTACCTCTTCCTTTCAGAGTATAGGGGCAATGGCTGGAGAGGCAGCAACCACAATATGACCTTGAGGATGAAGCAATGTACTTCTTCAACAGGCTGAGCAGAAAAATAGAAAGCACAAACTACTCTCCTCAAATGTCTTTTATGAGACTATATAAATAACATTTGATGCCTATATAGTGATGTCTGTCATTAGAAAATAATTCTGAGATGTTACAACAATATGAAAGTATCTCTAAGAGTGCACTACAATTTTCTGCAAAAAAAAAAAAAAAAAAAAAAAAAAAGGCAAAATTTGTGAATTGGGATTCTGATTACCCTTTTATTCCCAAGCCATTTGTTGCAGTATGGCTTTGCTTCCTAATTAATACTGCTAGCCCAGGGAAGCATATTTGCTAGCCTGTCTCTATGTTTTGACATGCAAGACTTGTGAAATTCAAACGTAGTCGCAGACACTCAAAGCATTACTATTTATTAAGGTCAATGTTAAAGGTAGGAGATCTTAAAGCACCCTCAGATTCTGATGATTAAAGGAAATGTAATCATTCTGCATTGGCATTTGATCTTTAGCCCACCATAAGCTACTGGTTTATCCCTCCTTCCGTATTTGATACTCAAAAGACATTTCAACAGCTTGTCTATCAACTGTCAAACAGAAGGGACAGACAGCCAAGCCACATGACTCAGGAAATGAGAGAGTCTTCCTCACACTCACGGAACCCGTGCATGCCCCGTGCGATCAAAAAGGGGAAGAAGGCAGCGCAGCACTGGGGACCCAGAGGGGGCCCGTGACAAGCTACCGGCTATGTGGGTGAGGGGCTTCTGAAGTGTTGTAGCCCTGCACACCTGTCATCTAGTTCCACCCTCAGAACTGCACTCTGCCCGCTGGTACTTTCATTTTTGCAATCCTGGGGCCTGAACCCAGGGCCTTCACACTGAGCTGCAGCCATAGACCTTTTATTATTTTTTGAGACAGGGTCTCAGTAAGTTGCTATGCTGCCCAGGCTGAGCTTGAGCTTGCAAGCCTCCTGCCTCAGCCTCCCAGAGTGCCGGGATCACAGGCATGTGACACCACACCTGGCTATCTAGGTGTTTTTTTTCATTCCTGCTTCTTCCAGATTCTTTTCTCAAGGTCAGAGTGACTGGAACCCAATGAACAGTCAGGTTTACAGGTCTCATATCTGCCTGGGCTGTACCAGACTAGGGGCAGGAAACCAAAGCCTGTAAATCAGACAGGGCTCACTGCCAGCGTCTGTACACCCAGTTTCACTGGGATGCAGTGGCACTCACTTGTGTGTGAACGACCTGTGGCTACTTCTACAACGAAACAGCAGAGGGGCCTACCTGCAAGTGAGATCGTGTGACCCAGAAGGGTGACTGCATTTACTATCGGGCCCTTTGCACACAGACTGCCAACCCTGCTTTAGGCCAGCTTCCTAGAAACAGGGTCCAAGTGACAGATCCCACCCTGGAGAGCCACACAGCTGACGTGAAGCGGGCAACACTTATGCACCTGCTAGCTGCAAGGTCAGTGCCTGATGCTGAGACGGTCCCCTCACTCCCGGGGATGGCCGAGGCCACCACTCTGTCTCCTGTAGAGACAGTGTAGTGCATAACCTCAGGTATCACCACTTACCGTGAACTTCGAATGTGTCTCACAGCCATAAAAAGCCTGGGGTCACTGGCAGGGGGCATACACAACAGCACAGGACTGCGACACACAGAGGGACACTGCAAGCAGAAAGAGAAGAGAGGTTAGAAGAGCAGACGGTGATGCTTCAAAAGCAACGTGGACCCATGAGCCCGGGCTGCCTTGCCCACACATGAACTAAGCGTCTCTTCCTTCCTGGGGCCGGCATTCGACCCAGGCTTGAAGGCTAAGCACATACACTAGAAGGACGAAGAACTTCACACACCAAAGAAACTGGTATGCACTCTAAAAGTTTGGCCCTTTAATGTCTTTTATTTTCAGTGCTGGGAACTGAACTCAGTGCCTTAGCACCAAGCTATACTCCCCAGGCCCCCTACCCTTTTGAGAGACAGGTGACCCACTAAGACGCTCAGGCTGGCATCCCACTTGCACTCTCCCTGCCTCAGCCTCAGAGAGTGTCGAATTATATGCATGTGCCACCATGCCTGGCTCATAACTCCCTATGTTTTAGGACAAGTTCTCAGAATACAGTGCTAACACATCGTGAGAAATAACAGCAAGAAGGCGCAAGCGTCTAAAGTGATGGCTCTGCTTTGGGCCTTGTCCCGTGGCCTCTCTGCACCCAGCAGGAGCGGCAGGAGCAGCTCACCCATAGGCCCAAGAAGGCAGCCCAGCTCCTCCAGTCCCTGGAGCACACAGGCTCACTTGCGCAGTGGGCAACTTCGCTTCCAGCTGCGTCTCAGAGACAGGAGGAAGCTCCGATACGTGCCTCCTGGAGATGGCGCGCGGTGTGCTGAGGCTGCACGCTTTCACGGTGTAGTTGGGTTATTAGTAGAATATTTACCAAATGCAATTCCGAGTAAGTTGAAGTTGCTGACAGATTAGTCAACTCATTCCTGGGCACTTTCAGAAAGGTTTTGCGAATAGCTGTCGGGAGCACGGCTGGCTTCCCATGCCAGGTCTCTGCACAGATCCCCGAGAGGACATTGCCACCCCTAGGGCCCTGGAGACTACAGAAGGGCCTCTCTCTAGTATGGGAAAACAGAATTAGAGAACCAGAAGACACCACGAGCTCTCTAGGGGAGAGGAGGGGAGGGGGTCACCCTCTTTCAATGGTAAACGCAGGCAATATTCTATGAATGTACATGTTTTCTAGCCTAATCAACCGGAGAAGTCGAAACTGAAAAGGAGATGTATGCTGTACAGAGGTTTGTGATTTGAATAGTCACACATCTCCCGAAACTCTGTGGGCTGTCTATCAAGCAGCGCTCAGCAAGAGTTCAGAGAGGGTGATCTTGATGAGTGTCTTGTCTAGACGAGGGGTGGATTCAGGCCAGGTTTGACCAGACTGTTCTCTAGACACCAACTGTCAGGTGCGCATCAACAGCTACTCGATCACGGCTTGAGATTTTTCATTCTTACAAGATGTGCCATGTTGGCCTTAGTCCTTTTCAACAAAGCAGCTTAAGAATATGAAAATATTTGTAAAGATAATTCAACTGGTAGAGGCTGTAATCGTTCAAACCTAATGGGTGAACTCATTAATGAGTAACTGGCACCACAAGAAAGAAGGCCACTGTCAGAGATTTATCGGAGTAATGAGATAGCAAAGTTAATTATATGGCCTTCAGTGGATCTACACTGGCTTCCTTCTAGGTCCGAGATTGCCAAATATTCGTTCTGATACCCCAAGTTGCTCCTCTTAACAAAAAACTCTCAGCTGAGTGCTCCCCGAAGACACAATGGCCGGTCACAGCCCTCACAGCAGGGCAAAGCAATTGGAAAACTTTTCCATCCTTTATTATCTACTTGTAAAATGTTATAAGCCTGTAAACTAGTTAATTTATGAGCCATGTGAATAATTTGCTCACACTTGATCGCAGGTTTTGCAAACACAGTTTCCAGGGATGGAGGAGGATAATTTGTAGGTCTGGTTTCTCTGCTAAGGGGACACTAACTAATTTGACACAATAACGTGACATTGATGGCTGGGCCCACTAATGACCGTGCTCCAGACGCGGCTGTCAGCCTGTCTTTCCAGCGAGGAGCCGGCTTGCTTTCACGGCGGCATAGGACTCGATGCTCGACTAATTATTCAGACAGCAACATTAATGAGAGCCCTCGTGTTTATTTCCAACATACTAACCAGCGCTTAGCCTCCATTTGTCTGATATGGTCACTGATTAAAATGTGTTTCATGAATAGTAAATTCAAACTTTAATATAACAAAGAAGCAACAGGGAAAAATAAGGAGTGGCTGATTAGAAAACAAATCTAGTCAACTCAACTTGTTTTCTGCCTCAAATATCATCAAGGACAAAGTGACAGGTAGGAGGGAAGGCTATCAGAATCAAGACAAGGAAAAGGAATATTTTTAATCACACACATCCCTGGATGAACTTAATTTTTTGACCAACACCCCTGGATCATAATATGGTCAGGAACAGTTTCTATCTGAAATAAATGTAACTAATTTTAGGAATGTGACTGCATATTTTTAAATTAGTTTTTGCACAGGGTGACCAAAAGGCTAGGTTTAACATGCTGTTTCAACCTTACAAAAGTTTTATTACACTGAATGAAAAATGATCTTCAAGATCATCAATAAATAGCGTTGTGGGTTTTTTCCCCAAAACTATTGTTAAACTGCACTGTGGAGGGTTTTCTAAAAAGTGTTTAACTATCCTTTCATATATCTTGTTTCTATTCCACTAAATCTTGTAATCAAGTTCTATTTTAAATTTCTATTTTGGTATGATGAATTTTGTCCTTCATTTTATGAGGATTATAATCCTAAAATATTCATATAATCATAATTTAAAATGAATAACTTTTTAAAAGGTAGGCTTAGATCTATTAGAGGTATTGAAAAATTGAAAATGCTTCTGATGGAGTTCATTATAGAATGTGCAATTCGAATTAAATAACTGTGGTAGTATTTCCACAAACATTCTATATGGCACCTAGATAAAGAAATCTACTCAATACTAAAAATGACTTCTGATTTCAGAAAAAAGCAAAATAAATATAAGGCCACGCAGATCACCTTGGGAATGAAAATGTCACTGCATACAACATTTCTTAAGTATGTATTTCTAAACTTGCTTGAGATAGAACTGTAATTTTAGACCACCAAAATGCCTAAATGGTACACAACATGGGGCAAGCAGATTCAGACTGCAGGTTAATTTTTAAAACATATTTAAACAAGTATCCAGGTAAACTGCTCCAAACAAGTATGACTGTCTCTAAACACTGCTATTTCCATGGGTTCTCACTGTGGACAGGTTCACAGATGATCAACATCTCTGGACCATTTCTTTATGATCCCCATTTGTCTTTCATAATTCTCAAAGAAAACACGCTCAGTCTGTAGCCACAGGTGTAGATATCATCCAATCTGTTTCTTCGTCCTGGACACCAAGCTGGCATTGTGACCAAGTTGTGGCAAGCCAGTGTCCACCACTTTCCTTCTGATCCTCAAGCCACCTGTGCTATCCCGAGGCCCTCTCTCCTCCCATGGTCATAGGCCCAGGGATCCAGCAGAGGACACCTAGCTCCTGAAGACAGTGGAATCACTGGACATAATAAGCCTATGTCCCTGAGAACCCAGAGCAGAGACACTAAGAGCACCATCCTCAACAACCTGGGCGAGTGGGAGGGGCCTGAGAAGTAAACCTGCACGGGGGCAGGACTGACTCAGGCATGTCTGCTACAGCTGCCAGTACCTCTGTCTCCCTCTGCCCTCCACGCCATGTGTGTATGTATGTGTGGTGCTGGTGGTGGTAGTAGTAGTGGGTACTGAATCCAGGCCTCGCACTCTACACTGAGTTATACCTCCCAGCACTCATGCTTTTGGGGGAGGTGTGGTTTGGCATGGCTTGGTTGCTGAGAACTGAGCCCAGGGCCTCATGCACATGACACACGTGCTCTACGATGCAGCTACACCCCAGCCCAGTATCTCTGACTCGAATACTACACACACCTATCTAATTTCTCCCCGCCTTGTACATGTGTCTCTGGACAGCCCTAAGTATGCATAAACAGTTTAAATTTGGAAAAATTACTGAAGATATTTTGTTGTTAGAAGTAATACCTTCTCACACTAAGCTAAAGAAAGAGAAATGGAAGAGAATCAACAGCTAATGTTTTCTTAAAATATATCAGTCATGTCCTCAATCTTCACAAAGCCTGGGGAGAAAGTCCAACACCCCCTTTATGGACAAGAAGACAGAGCTGCTAAGAGGAGAAATATAAGCAGATGCCACTGATCGAGAACCCAGCTGACATTTGCACCCTGGCCTTTAACCTCCAACCTTTAGAGAAAATGTTTATTTCCAAATACAAAATTCTAACTGTTTCTTACGAAAAAAAATTTTTTTACAATCTCCTCCAAATTTAAGCCAGTTTAAACAAAATTTGTGAGGGGGAAGGTGGTAAGCTGCATCACAGACAATAGAGTGTCAGAAAGTTCTGCAGAGGTTTTGAAAAGGCAGTAACAAAGCGGGTGCGTCTCAGATGCTCTTGGTGATTTTTAAAAAAGAAAGCTACATGTCGAACAAAACAAATGTATACTGAGACTACATGAGCTGGTGAGTAATCAACGTTTTGAACATTTTTATATCCCTTTTGTTAATATATAAAGCATTTTACTACATGCCATGTTTTTTAAAACCAGTTGGCAAACTTTTCTATGAAAGAAACCACAGTGAACACATCAGGTTTTGCAGTCACAAGTTCACTATCAGAACTGCTTAGCTCTGCCATTATAGCAGGAAAGGACTCAGGGACTATATGTAAACAAATGGGTGTAGTTGTGTTCCAATAAAACTTTATTTACAAAAACAACAAGGCCCACAGATCATAATTTACCAACTGCTGCCTTACAAAAATGGGCATTCTGCATATTCACACATAACACACTGTAATCTTTTTCCTATGTAAAACAAGGGGAAATAGGTTCTGGTTAGCGTTTTCCCTCAAGATGTGTGATTGCCAGGAATATACTGCAGATATTAAGGGGAGCAGCTTTCACCTGCCAGAGTTTCAAGAGATGACAGCTGGTAGGACTCCATGTCCA